TTGCAGAATTGAAAACTTGGGACTTAATGTTTAAGCCTTTCAGTCTCTGCTCCACAGACACACATTGATGGCAGGGAGTCAAATAGAAGCCAGGTGAGTTGATCTGTAGTATATTCCTCCAGACGCCCGTGGTAGGTGTACAATTCAATGGCCATGTCCTGTATAGTCTACCCACTCAGTTCCTCAGTATGCACATGCATTTGCCTCTAACTTCATTTGTTCCAAGCCAACTGTTTTAGTCAGCATCCCATAATCAACTTATGAAAAGAAAAGCGTTGTTATTTAGGCTCACAGTTTGGGAGCTTTCGGTACATGATTAGTTGGCCCTGTTGCTTTTGGGCCTGTGGCAAAGCAGAACACCATAGTAGGGAGTCCATGGCAGTGTGAAATCACTCACTTCATGGATGGGAAGTGAGAGAGAGGGGAAGGGGCCAGGGTCCCACCATCTCTTCCAATGGCACACCTCCAACTCCCCAACTTCCTCCCACTAGGCCCCACCTCTCTAACGTCCCACCACCTCCCAATATTGCCAAGCTAGAGATCAAGCCTTTGTGGGATATTTAAGGCCAAACTACAGCACCAACATTGGGTTCATATTTTAGTCTCCAATCCAGCAAATTAGTCTTGAGCCATCACACTGAATCCAGAAGCTCTGAGATGTGAATTAGTTGTGCCTGATATAGGGTTATAGTCCTGCCACCTGGTCTAGCACGCCGATAAACCAGTCCCTCACAAACTCCTTGGGTTTCTGCATATATATAATAGAAAAATCAAGTGCAACTTGTTGTTATCTTCTGGGGTGTTCTGGGATCTGAGTCTGCTTATAATTGATTAAGAAGCAAAGAAACATGTAATAATGAAAGGACCTGAGGAAAGTTGATGAGTTATTACTTCAAATAAAGGAATTAGGTTGTTTTCGAACAAACCCCATCTAAACTCATCAGACAGCAAAAGTGAGCTGCTTCTGCTGACAAGGGAGGTTATGAGGAACCAGGATTTAGAGTTCTCAAATCCAACTGAATACACAATCCACCAATAATAAAATCCACAGGGTTTCTTCTAAATCAATCCTCTAATGCTCACTTTTAAAATATGGCAAAACATGAATTCAACTTATAGTGTAACTTAGTGACTCCTTGGATCAGATTCTATGTGATTTGTGGCTGCTTGAGTCCTGACCTAAGGCCATGGGAGATAAAAGATAATCTTAGAGTCATCATGGAAGTTCCCTGGTTCTCTGAACTTTTTGAAGCTGATAATGTAAAAACCTGAGCTTATCATTTTCTTTCTTTAATCTCTCCAGAGCTGTCTCCTTAGCCATCCCATCTTACAACCCTTCCAATTTCTTATTTTTATTCTAATGATTTATCACAGCAACCACTTTGCCAAAATCTAAACCTTACATCTTTCCAGGAAGCTATAAGTGATCATTTAAATCATTTAAATGGCTGTTTTTGTCACTGTGTCCCATTTCCTTTTTTTTTTTTCAGAGTCAGAAATAGAAATTATATTAAAAATCTAAGAACTTTAAAATCCTGGAGGTGCATGAATGGGCAGGAGAGAGCAACACACCTCTATTGCCACCACGGATTAGAGAAGCTTAACTGAGACTGTCACTGCACAAAGGGCACACAGAATGGACAGCACTGCGGGGATCTGGGGAAGAAGCTCTGCCCCAGAAAGGGGATGGGGCACGCGGGCTGGGGCCACTTGACCTATGAACAAAAACAGCTTATCTGAGAACACTTGACCTTTAGCCTGGTGCAAGGAAGCAAAGAGGATATTGTACAGGGTCCCTTTCCCCAGAAAGTCCCATTTTCTAATGGTAACAGGATTGCCGTTATCTAAGGCCTACCAATCAGGTTAGATAACCCACACAATGTTTCTTGAAAGTCTGTTATCTGAAACCCCTTCCAGAAGGAACAAAAAAGAAAACACCCTAGGTTGGAGGAGAGGTTAAGAAAAAAAAAGGATTTCAACCAGGGAATGACATATTGATAGCATCATTCTAAAGTCTGCAGAAGCAGGAATCTGAGATGAGGATCACCTCACTGTGATTGCAAGTTCAACATCAAGTTGAAATTTACCAGAATGTGCTTATAAATTGTGTGATTTCCCTCTTTTTGCACATTGCATCCACCATTTTTTTGTTAAATCTGTGCACTATGGAGCTGAAGCCCTGAGCCTACACAGGAGCCAGTAACTACCCCCATTACCCATAGATACTGGGGGAAGTTAGCTTTTACAAACTTCAAGTCTCAAGTGACTGCCTCCAACTGATAGAGGTTTATCAATTATAAGAACCCTCGTTGCTTGGGATCTGGAAAATATAGATTTAAGTTACTAATTTCCAAAGAAGAAACCATTGTTAACTTGAAGGTAGAATGGAAGAAGAACTAATCCAGAAAATCCACCATAGTCTCAAGAAGTTAGTCTAAATTTAGCTATCTATGCTCAGTCTTTCAAATGTCCTCTTCCCTCCTTCTGATTCTCAGCCTATGATATCATCCACTTATGTTATGAGTCAGATAAGGCACCTGGAACTGGTTCCTGGATACTCAGTGGCTGGTATTTGCTCTTTTCTTGGTTGTTGTCCTTTATTCACCTCATAACTGGTGGCCTGCAGGAGACCCACGCTGAAGTCTATGGTTGGTAAACTTGAGGTCCATTCATCATTTCCCTCTGAATTGAGATATCATACTACTTTGCTGCTTTTGTTCAACCTGAGATCTTCTGTAGTAAAGAAGTTTTGAAACCCACGAGGAATGCAAAAGAAAGGGGAATGTTATAATTGCACTGTTTAAATAATCTATCTTCTAATTTTTCACTTTTAGTAGGACTGCTAACAAGACATTTGATTTTACAAGTGTAGATAGCATTTATGTTAAGATTCCTTCACTTTCCCAAAGGAAATTTTCATGGAGGTCTGAATGAGCAGTGGAAAAATAGGAAAATAGTCTGCAAAAAAGAGGGAAGTCATGCACTTTATAAGCAAACTCTGGTAAATTTAACCTTTCTCATTTGTGCGGTTTGATAGATTGTGGGGACTATTCACAAATCCAGATAATTTATGGAGTAACAAGTTTATATGGGAAAAGATAATGAGTTCCATTCTGGAAGTGTTAGGTTTGAGGTACCTGAGGTAAACTGTGTATGTGTTAGAAAGTAGAAAAAAGTGTGGACTAGAGACATAACCTGAAAATCTGCTGATCAGAGTAGAAACCATAGGAACCAGGAAGTCAATTTTATCAAATCCATGCAACTAAATAGGTTGTAATATCTGAATTCAAGTCTCAGGTATAAATTATACAAAAATGATTCAAAGCAGACTCCTATATGCTAGTTACCAACTTGTCTGAGTCCAAGAAGGTAAAACATCTACACAGGTTACATGAAGCAAATTTTCTACATAGAAATAGGTAGCAAGGGACAAAAGACGCCTGAGGTTCATAGTGAGCTGGGAAAGAAAGCTGCCCGCAGTATGAATTGCTGACTACACCTGCCCTACATGTACCAGGGCTGAGGGACCCTAGGAGGCAACTGCTCTAGTTATGTATCTCAGGGGCAACCTGACTCCCTGGGAAAAGCTTTGAAGACATCCCATTTCTAGGGAAGGGAGGAACAAAGCCTTGACTGTCCAGGAAGTTACTGCCTAACTCAAGGTGTCAACACTCCCTACAAGGATAGGAAAAAGGACTGGGCTGTTTCAGGCAATTCCTCCCTATCTCAGGATAATGCATTTCCAGAATGTTCTATAATTTTCCTTGAAAACTGCACCAAAAAAAAAAAAAAGAAGGAGAAAACTGGATGCGTACAAGGCCAATAACTCTACTGTACTGTACATAAGAGAAATAATTTCTAAAAGCAATGCCAGATTTAATAATTACAGAAATAGGACAAATTTGTAGAATCAATATCTATCTATTTATCTATCTACCTCTATCTATTGATCTCTAACTATCTATCTGTCTGTCTGTCTTTACATGTTTGGGCATTCTTAAAGAGTCATAGCAGCCACGCACTGTGTTACACACCTGTAATCACAGCAGTTTAGCAGCTTGGATGGCCAAGGCAGGAGGATTGCAAGTTCAAAGCCAGCTTTAGCAACTTAGTGAGACCCTAAGCAACTTAGTGAGATCCTGTTTCAAAATCTGTTTAAAAAAGGAAGGGGGATGGTGCTGAGGATGTGGTTTTATATTTAAGTTTCAATCCCCAATACTAAAAAAAAAAAAAAAAAAAGTCATGGCATTTGGAAAATAATTTTAAAGCTCTACAGAGGATCACATTCAAATCCCCACCAGGAAGATAAAGATTTGTTCCATACAGAAAGAGCTTCATAGAAGCTGCTCCTACATCTCCATTTCATCACATGATTAGTTTCATTGTCCCTTATGTTGAAAAACAATTAAAAGATCATAAAATTCTTTAAAAAATTATCTTCTTCCCCTCGCCTTGTAGCTTCCTGTTAGTTAGCTTTCGGTTATTATAACAAATACCTGAGATAAATCAACTTAAAAAGAGGAAACATAACATTTTAGCTCATAGCTTCAGAAGTTTCAGTCCATGACTAGTTGGCCCCATTGCTTTGGGCAATTGCTTTCTTTGATTTTCAAATATGATCATCATGGCCACCCACCCATGTTTATTTATCTCCAATGTGGGTTTTAATGATTAAAGAAGATTTAGAGAAACAATTAAAATGCTAAGAGCAGTGTGCCATATTCTGGTATGCCTAAAATTCTGCTTGTTCAAGTATGGCCCAAGTATTACTTGTGGCAGAATCACTAAAGAGCTTGTTAGAAACAGACACCAGGAGCCCATCCCAGCACCCCATAGGGGATCCAGAAATCCACATTGGTAGGTTTCTAGATGATGCTTATCTCATTAAGTTTGAGACTCGCCAGCTTATTTTAAAGGACCTATTTTCCCCCAGCACACCAGAATATATCTGTTTTGTTCTATTCTTAATTTTCTGCTCTTTCCTCCCTACCTGCCCCCAGGAGACAACAATGGATGGTCTCTGCAATTCGACAAATATTTTGGCAACCACAATGAAATGACCTCCTCATATTCCTTTGAGACAAAAACATCTGAATGCTGTAAGTAATCATAGTAATTGAGCCTCCTTTTCCGTAAATTCTTTATAAGACACGAAACTTTTAAAAGTTGGATTCTATGTATAATTTTATGAAAAGGTTATTTGTAATTTTCCAGTTTCAAACTTTATTAGGGATGCATCCTAAATTTGGAAATTCTGTTTTAAAATAAACTCATGGAATCTTAAGGATGAAAGTCATCAATCATGTCAGGTATTGTGAGTAAAATTAATGTCAGTCAGGGTTGCTATTTTATGTAAGTTCCCTTTCACCATCACTATAAACCCTGATGCAAAGGAAACAGAAAATAGAAAAGCAAAGAAGCTGTTTGATTTTAATGGCTGCAATTGAAAAATCTTCTGGTGTCTAAGCTGTATTTCAGAGCTATGAAAACCTATTAATTATAACCTGTGTTTAGTCAATATTTCAAAAACTCACAAAAACACCAGAGAGGATGTAGAAGGCCATAAACTTGAGGATTGATTCTATAACGCTTCATATCATGAAAATAATTCCTTTTAAATAATTTTTTCTATTTTAATAAATTATGCAAATGAAGGTCTGTGCCTTAGGTCTGCAATTTTGACCTCAGCTTTTTAAAATCTTGATTAAGTAGGAGGGTTGAACCAGGTGGCACATTTTCTTAATCCCAGCTACTCGGGAGGCTGAAGCAGGAGGATCTAAAGTTCAAAACCAGCCTCAGCAACTTGGCCAGACTCAAAATGAAATAAAAATAAAAAGGGCTAGGGTGTTGCTTGATAGTAGAGCATCCCCCTGGTTCAATCTCCAGCATTGGGAGCAGACAACAAGCATTAGGAGGGGAATCCCTTATGGTCTACCACAAATTATAAAGCCTAGATTTTCAAATTTTCAATATTTTTTTGTCTTCACTACCCAAATGAGATAAACTACTAACAGTCCCCAATTAAAGGAGATAACCTTCCCCTGGGAATCTCCTGTGTTACTCATCAATCTACCTTAGCATCCCTGAACCTGCCTCCAAGAGGATGGAGACCAAATAATTTCATCATTAAAAAGCTAAAAGCGCAGGGCAGGGTGGTGCACACCTGTAATCCCAGCAGCTTGGGAGGCTGAGACAGGAGGATCTCGAGTTTAAAACCAGCCTCAGCAAAATCGAGGGGCTAAGCAACTCAGTGAGACTCTGTCTCTAAATAAAATACAAAATAGGGCTAAGGATGTATGTAAGCAAAAATAACCAACACGGTTTCAGCACCATTATAAAGGCACAAATAACCGGGACAGAAGCAGACTTCAACTGGATCAAGAAGCTTTCCTTTATTGGCAGCGGAGTCAATCAATCAGATTTTCTCATTTTCTGGGTAGAAAAATAGCCCACGGGTTACAGAAGGAGTCTGAGTTTTATAGTCTACAATGAGGTTGAATTAGTCATTGGAAACTGTGAATGTGCACGTGCAGATGGGACAGTCAGGGAACTAGTTGCGCAGGTTAAAACTTTAACTCAGAAGGCAGTTGTCAGAAGTTTGAAACTCACTGTTAGTGGAAGGAGACAGGAGCTCAGATCCCACCCACTGCTTTTCTTCTTCCTCTGGGATTCATTATTTCCCAGAGTTTACTGTGCCTTCCTTCAGGACTTATTGGCAATAGGGGAAGGTCAAAGTTTAGGGCCAGCCTTTCAGTATCCTCCTCCTCCCTGCAGAACCCACTGTAGTTTGGAAGGGGTGAATGTTTGCTTTTTCCCATTGTTATTGGGAAAGGATTTACTGGAAGAGGTGTAATGTTTGGCTAATTTCCCTCCATCCTCCTAAGACACACTGTCTTTCTGTTTTTTTCCTGGGGGCTATCTTGTAGGAATATTATTTTCCATAACCCTTCAATGTGGCTCAGTTGTCCAGTGCACCTGGGTTCAATCCCCAGTACCCACCACCTCCCCTACAAAAAAGCTATAAGCTTTTTTGTGTGTGTGTTTTGTTCTGGAGATTGAACCCAGGGATGATTTTACCACTAAGCAACACCACAAGCCCTTTGAGAGAAGATCTTGCTAAATTATTTAGAACCTCACAAAATTGCTGCAGTAGGCTTCAAACTTGCCATCTTGCAGCTTCAGCCTCCCAATTGCTGGGAATGTGCCACTAACCCAGCTAAGAGATTTTAGCAAAGAAAAGAGTTAACAGGTATAATTTAACAACTAATATTATGCCAAAAAGTAATAATGACAAATTAAGCTGTGTTATCTTAAAATGCATTTTTCCCTTTATTATTTTGTTTTCATTTCTTAAATTTTAATTGAATCTTTTAATATCTCATGTTATTCCCAAGAAAATTTTCAGCAACTTACAATTAAAGTATGGCTAAATCCTCACTGAGAAAGCTCAGCAACCACACACAAAGCTTAGTTCTGAATATTGTAGTCATTAAGTCAAAGAGGAAAAATAACGGGTTATATAATTCGCATAGTCTCATTTGTAAAGGAAAAACAAAGGGGAAAAAACAGACTAAGTCAGCAAGAGAAATAAGTTTTTACCTGATCTTGCACTCTGGAAGAAAATTTGTCACAAGTACAATTACAGAAGAATCCTAAACTCCTGTACACAATAAATATAATATAAACACATAATTTTTCATTAGAGCCCTCTTAAGACAATTTGGGGAATTGCAATTAATAATTAAATATCTTTTTCAGATTCAAACATGGTAAATAAAATGAAATGAAAAGTGACGAATAATATCTGGGGGTGAAACTTAACATTAAGGTTCCTAATTGTGCCACTTTCTTTAAATCAGATTATTATAGGGACTTACTGGAAATTAAACTGAAGATGGCTTATAATCATTTTGGCTAGATGAAAGAATGTGAGGAATCCACATTTTAAAAATCACTCCTCAAGATCAATATCATGGAAAATAATAATATCTATGATTAACCAATACACTGTCTAAAGTTTAAATTTGAAAGATTTGGAAAACATTTTTTACCAACCATAATTTTTACCACTCAGAGGCTATTATCATCATTTGCTGGTACATTACTTGTCTTTTTTTTTTTTAACTTTGTTGAAATAAAATTTCAAATAATTTCCTGTACCAATCAGTTTTATCATATTTTCAATTAGCATTTTAGTATAATTAGCTATTCATGTTATTATAAGCTCTTGGGAAATAATATATGTAATGTTATTTTTAAGTGACATAATTTACTTATTCTTTTGTCATTGAATATTTATATGTTTTTTTTTTTCATTTTTCCCTATTACAGATAACCCTGTACTTAAGATATGTATTATCTTAATTCAGTCTATATATATATGGAAAAAACACTACAATGAATGCTGGTTTCATTGCCTTCTTTTTTGATCTTCTATTCACTCCTTCTCAGGACTTGCATCTTCCTCCCCAGCCTTCACCATCCACCCTCACAACATAAACATGCACTCACATGGTAGACAGGATTTAACTTAGACAGCCATCCCTGGCCAAAATGGGTACTCCAACTGTAAAGCTGTTTAATAAGAATTTTCAGCAGATACATAATCAGTGAAACTAGGTTTTGATCCTAATCACCTGTAACCCTGGAAAGAGTCTCTGCAGTTACTCGGGAGGAGATGAAAAACACCTGTCATCACACGTACCTGAGCAAACAGGCACTTTCCAAGTTCAAAGCCTGTAGCCAGCTGTGTTCGCTAATCCTTCACAGGAGCCTCTGCTTCATATTTGAGACACTTGCCTACTCTCTGGAAGCTTTACTGCAAAGATCAGAAACTGGAAATTTGCAAGCAGAAAATTTCTCATAGAAAGTTTTGTTTTTCCTAGGATGTTTTAAATTAACTATTATTTTTAAATGGGTAATTATATATAAAACATTGTATTTCTGGCTTCTTTGCAAATGTTGGTAGATTTGGCTGCACTCATTCCTATTGTAAGTTGGCAACAGGAGAAATCAACCCATTTGGACATCCAGACACTACTTTGCCTGATCATGATAGATATTTGAGTCCATAGCAACTGCTAAAAAGCTTAAGGCTCTAGAAGTAAATGTATTTGGGAAGTATTCCTCATTGCTCTCAGTCATTGTCCATTCCCCATCAGGCAGGAATCAGACTAATTTATTACACTAAACAATAATCCTTTCATACTATATAAAAACATCGTTATGAGGCTCTAATAGACTTCAGATACATTGAATCACATTCTTAAGCCTCAAGCCCCACAGATGGCCAAAAGGGTGTATCTCATTCTTTCTTATTCCAACACCAAATAGAGTAAAAATAGGATGACTGTGCAGAAAAAAAAAAATGTCCACTCACATAAATGAAGATTTAGAGATCCATCATCTCTACACAGGCCAAAGAAGCATTCTCTTTTAAAAATCTATTGAAAAGGGAGGGGCTGGGGTTGTGGCTCAGCCATAGAGTGCTCGCCAGCAAGGCGCTGGGTTCAGTCCTCAGCACCATATAAAATAAATAAATAAAAATAAAGGTATTGTGTCCAACTACAACTAAAAAATATATTTTAAAAATTTCATTGTTTAAAACAAAAATCTATTGAAGAACTCCTGAATTTTCCAGGAAAAAAAAATCTAACCACACTAATCATTTAGTGTTTAATTCTCCTCTTCCTTGTTGGTTAAAAGTGACTTAGTCCTATAAAAGTTTTGATGATGCTATAAATAAGTACTTCCTTCTTAAACAGAACCTTCCACGATCATCAAACCCCAACACAATATATCACATTTTCCTTGGGTGACATAGGAACATGATTTCATTCATTTTGCAATAAATGGAAAAGAACATTATTCTATTTTTTAAAAAATGGATGGGTTGGTAAGTGTGTATGTTTCCAAATGCTAATGTTCTAGCATCCTTTTAAAGATAAATTAAAAGTCAACTTTGGAACCTTAATTTAAAGCATTGCTCAGGTAAGGCATGACATACTCTTGTACTAAGTATTCTTTTCATTGCCCTCCTCTTCCTGGTCCCCCACTTTCATCACCCCTTACCACTTCCTCTTTGTTCAGTGCTTGGTTCTGTGCCTGGGCATTGTTTTTGCGGAGGTCTACAGCTTGACTGTGATGAAGCCAATTTACGAGCTGTTCCATCAGTTTCTTCAAATGTGACTATAATGTAAGTAGAAAGGAATGGCTCATCCTTACAGCCAGAACAGTACCTATAAAACTGTATCATAATTAAGACGTGTCATTATTAAAATTATTCAAAGATGATGTCATTGTCTCTTAGATCAGTTATGATTGCTCATATTTATTTTGCTTTTATTAAATGCTAGATCCCACCTTAAATTATCCCATCTTGGGCTGGGGTTGTGGTTCAGTGATAGAGCACTTGCCTAGCACATGTGAGGCACTGGGTTCAATTCTTGGCAACACATAAATAAATTAGCAAAGGTGTTGTGTCCATCTACAACTAAAAACATTTTTTAAATTATCCCAACTTATTTAATTCCATGAAATATTTAAACTCACCATATTTTATCTAAATGAAAGATGTCATCAACTGCATGTGCTACTAAAGGGAAAAAAAGGCACTTATTTATTATACCATTATATAGGGCTTTCCTTTACTTTGTTTGTTTGATTGTTTGTTTGTTTGTTTGTTTGTTTTGAGATAGGATCTCAATAAGTTGCTTAGATCCTTACTAATTGCTGAGGCTGGCCTGGAACTTGCAATCCTCCTGCCTCAGCCTCCCAAGCTGCTGGAATTACAGGCATGTGCCACCACATCTGGCTTTTACATAGAATTTTTACTTGAAACTTATTCAAATAGCTCTTTTAGAATTTCTTAAACATAAGTTTTAATATACTCTCAGATACAAATAAAAACAAGCAAAACAAGTTTGATACATATTCCCAGAATTTTATATCTAAATTAACACTTCCAAATCACATTTTGAATCAGAGATATTGATGTTGATTTTTCCTAACTAATCAAACTTACGTGTGTATAAAAGATCACTCTCATAATAAATGGTTTGTTGATTTCTAGTACTTGTGGCTCTAAGTTTCTAGTGGTACTAATTTGAATTCAACCAGACCTCAGCAACAGAAACACATGCATTTGGCTGAGATTTTTAAAAAGAAATCAATGGAAGATGGATATTTTAAATCAATATTTTTACTGAATTTTTTCATACAGATGTTTTGATGCCTTCTGTCTCTGACTTTTGGGTGAAAGGGGACAAAATGTGAGTTTACAAAGTTGGCAAGTCTTGCCTTTCTCAAACCAAACTGTTTATTCAACTCAAATGATTGACATATAAGGAATGGAAGAGCCACAGTGCAGAGGTCTTATAAATGGTGTTATCAATCATAAAAACTGGGGATTTGGCCAGAAAGTGGAGAGATAGCAACCTGAGAACATGAACTGAAAACACCCAGAGGTTAAACCACAAAAAACTTGTTTTCCAAAGAAACCAACATTCTCACTGAACTAAGGAAAGAGAAAAGCTCTCCCACATTCTGTTCCCTCCTTGCCTCTGCACCACTCTTTTTCGTAGTAATTAGTCCTACTTTACAAAAAAAAAAAAAAATGACTTCCCCAAAGAAACTGAGGTCCCTTGGAGAGTTTCTGTGATTTAAATCTTAACTGGAAATGCAGGGTATAAGAATTTACAATTTCATCTTATTTTCAGAGAAAAAAAAATCATTATCACCCTCACTGCTTAATATCAAATTATTAGAAAATCCAAATCAAAGAATATCCCAATGCTGCCAATATTGGTTTTTATTTTCCTCCAAGAAATATTTGAATCCATTCTTCAACAATTCAACTAATGTTTGTAAAAGAAACAGAAGAAGAAAACTGAGAAATGGAGTGGGGTGAGGCAACTTCCTAGAAAGAGCATGCCCACCCAAAGGGTGCATAATTCAGTTGAATTCATTCTGATTCAATTTTTTAAAAACTGTTCTGGCCCAATACATAACACACATACATAAAGAGATGTGTGTCAGTCTTTGACCTGCCAGTTTTCAACCCCAGTATTAAATACATTAGAACCAGATCTTTGTGAATGCTTATCTACCAGAAGGCAAGGAAGAAGGCAGGATCAACACTTATTTCAAGTTTCCCATGCCAAATAATTGAGAATGGGAAGGCATAGTTGCCATAAATGGGGATAATTAGGACTCTAATGTCATATTTATTTTTTAATTTGAGATGAACATTGGAAATTCTGGGAAGATACAGGAATAATGCTCAGGAGTATATATCTACAGCATTCTTATGCTGTGGGTATAGCTTGGCGGTACAGCACTTGCCTACATGCACAGTGCTCTGAGTGCAATCCACAGCACTGGGAGTGGGGGGAAATATAGTACTTTGTACTTTGGGTTGAACCACTTGAATCCAGTTGTCCATTTATACTTTTCTCTGCAGAACACTGGCTCAGCTTCATACCTTGCCCAGTCTGCTAGTTCAATTCCATAAGGAAAAAGAACTCTAGGCTTTACAGCAAATACATTAAAAAACTAAATATTAAATTTCATTACTGAGTTAGTTCCAGATTTTAAGTTGGAACTCTTGGAGGAAAATGTCAAAAGGAACTAAATCATATGTAAGTAAAGTATCAAAGAAGCCTATAATCCAAGGAGCATTTACTGAAGTTGGGACTTATTGAAGTGTTTCACATAATGCTAAAGAATGAAACAGATAGAAATGAATATTTATACATTGTTCTAGCTTTCTAAACATTAACTTTGTTTGAGAATTGACTTTAAGATCCTAGAATTTGGGCTGAGGCTGTAGCTCAGTGGCAGTGTTCTTGCCTAGCATGTGTAAGGGACAGGGATGGATCCTTAGCACCACATAAAAATAAACAAAGGCATTCTGTCCACCTATAATTACAAAAAAATTAAAAAGATCCTAAAATTTAATCACTAAACTACATCTACAATCCTAAGAGCTGTCTTTATAAAAACCAAAGCTAGCTTTGATAATGACAAATCTAGTCAGTTTCTCTGTCATACACAATATATATACATATATGCATGTGTATATATATATATATATATATATATATATATATGAATACGTGTGCATGAATATGTACATAAACATACTCATATATATGACTTTGTGAAAAGTCAAATTTATAATATCAATTTTTTAGTATAATGATCTATTATATTTTAAAAGTTCTTTATTTTATTGTATTTTATTTTATCTTATTTTTGGTGCTGGGGATTGAACCTAGGGACTCACACATGCCAACCAAGCACTTTACCACTGAACCACAACCCCAACACTTAAAAGTATTTTGGTTCTTTGTTCTCATCAAAGAAAATAGAATCTACTTGTTTCCATTTCAATAGGATATTATGAAAATATAAATAATACTATGTGTTAGAATATTTGGTATTTAGAAAGGCATAACCTATAAATTGTAGGTATTCTTGATTAATATGGTAACACACTTTCTAAGAAATATTACTTAGGAGTTCTCAAATGAATTTCCCTTTCCTCTTCAGAAGCCCTCCCTAGCTCCCTGTGTAGGTACAATTAGCCTCTTCTTCTTGAGTCCTCTCATAAAAGTTCATTTGCATCTCTTTTTATTTTTTTAATTGCTTTAATTAGTTACACATGACAGTAGAATGCATTTATGCACTTTGATATATCATACATAGATGGGATAGAATTTCTCATTTTTCTGAGTGTACATATTGCAGAATCATATTGGTCATGTAGTAACATAAATGCATACAGTAATAATGTCTGTTTCATTCTACTATCTTTCCTATTCCCACATCCCCTTCCCTCCCCTCCCATCACTTCCCTCTACCTAATCTAAGGTAATGCTATTCTTCCCTAATGCCCCCTGCCTTATTGTGAATTAGTATCCACATATTAGAGAAAATATTTGGCCTTTGGTTTTGTGGGATTGGCTTATTTCACTAGCATGATATTCTCCAACTCCAACTATTTACTGGCAAATGCCATAATTTTACTCTTCTTTAAAGCTGAGTAGTATTCCACTAAGTATATGTACCACATTTTCTTCATCCATTCATCTGTTGAGGGACACCTATTGTGAATTGAGCCTGCTATAAACATTGATGTGGCTGCGTCACTATAGTATGCTGATTTTAAGTCCTTTGGGTATAAACCAAGGAGTAGGATAGCTGGGTCAAATGGTAGTTTCATTTCTAGTTTTCTGAGGAGTCTCCATACTGCTTTCCATAGTGGTTGCACCAATTTGCAGTCCCACCAGCAATGTATGAGTGTACCTTTTTCACCACATCCTCATCATTCTAACAGGAGTGAGATGAAATCTTAGAGTAGTTTAGATTTGCATTTCTCTAATTGCTAGATGTTGAACACTTTTTCATATATCTATTGATCAATTGTATTTTTTCTTCTATGAAGTGTCTGTTCAGTTCCTTAGCCCATTTATTGATTGGGTTATTTGGTTTTTGGTGTTAAGTTTTTTGAGTTCTTTATATGTCCTAGAGATTAATGCTTTATCAGAAGTGCATGTGATAAAGATTTTCTCCCAATCTGTAGGCTCTCTCCTCACATTATTAATTGTTGCCTTTGCTGAGAAGAAGTTTTTTAACTTGAATCCATCCCATTTATTGATTCTTGATTTTTACTTCATGTGCTTTAGGAGTCTTAAGGAAGTCAGATCCTAGGCCAACATGGTGAAGATTTGGGCCTATTTTTATTTCTATTAGGCACAGGGTCTTGCAGCTCTTTTATTATGTTAAACATGCTTCCTTAGTCTTGGGATTCTCTTTTTTTTTCTTTTCTTTAATTCTAATTTGTTATATGACAGAAAAATGCATTGAAAATCATATTACACATATAGAGCACAATTTTTCATATCTCTGGTTGTATACAAAGTATATTCACACCATTCGTGTCTTCATACATGTACTAGGGTAATGATGTCCATCTCATTCCACCATCTTTTTTACCACCATGCTCCCTCCCTTTCCCTCCCACCTCTTTGCCCTATTTAGAGTTCGTCTATTCCTCCCATGCTCCCCATCTCAACCACACTATGAATCAGTCTCCTATATTAGAAAAAAAAATCCAGCATTTGGTTTGTTAGGATTATCTAACTTCACTTAGCACCATATTCTCCAACTCCATTCATTTACCTACAAATGCCA